GATGGGACTTGGTTAGGATGTCCTGAGGATATCCCGGGATGTGACATTATGCACTCGGGAGGAGGTGTTTAGGAGGTTCGCGGGATATTCCGGGATGTCCTCAGGATGTGCGCATATCCTGCGAGCAACATCCTTGGGATATCCCAAGGATGTTTTTGTGCTATGTGGGTTCTATAAACTATACAAAAATTTCATCGTCAACAGGTCTATTTTATGATAAGTACAGAATTGTAACATATAAGAGAAATTTTATAGTCCCCAACTGTTTGCTAACAGAAAACGTTTTTTTTTCATTTATGACATTTATTGTATTAAAAACATACTTATTGCAATATACTGTTAAGGAATTAAAGTAAAATGATTTTCAAATGATTAATTTACATTATAATGATCTGGATAGTAAAGCCTTTATGCGTCGTTCTACGAGAATAGCAGCAAATTATCTTGCATAGGATTTACCATTAACTGAAAACAATAAGCACTTCAAAAAAGTTCCTTTTCAGAAGACTTGATTACGAATTTTTTATGTAATCATTGTTATAAAGTGTTATCATACTTTCGTGGAATGTTAAAATTACGAAGATTGAAAATTTAATATTTTTAGCATTTAAGCTGCAAAACTAAATTTTAATGAAGTTCATATATTTGAATACATGATCTAACAGTTAGGTTTCGGAAAAACTGTCTCTGGCTAAATTCGTCTAATTTATTATATGTATGACAGTAATTTTATAAAATTAAATGCTTTCCACATTAATATAAAATATCCTTACATTTAAATCATTAATTATAATATGTTCCCTTTTATTGTTTTGATTTGAAGGGAACTGCAGTTTTAAATAGTAAAAACTTCATTTCATCAGAAATACTTTGTAATAGTATTATGAAAATTCATATATCATGTTTGATGGTTTTTATTTCGATGGATTGAATTCTGTGCTTATTCTTATAATTAGTCTCCAATTTATAAATGATTTATTTGTTTTATTTAACCAGCTATTTTATGTTCAGAATATTTCTCTCATTTCTCCCTTTCCAATTTCCTGCCAGAATGATCATTGTAGTTCGCTTTCATTCAAATGAGATAGTTAAAGATAGTATTTAAATTGAGGTTTTAGGTTGCTTAGAGAAAGCGTGTTCCGTCTCCTGAAGGCCACGTTACTATTTGCTTTTTTTTTATTCTTGCCATACTGATTCCACCAATATCCGTTTGAGCCAATTTGCTCATTAATCATTTCTATGTAGCCTTTGGGAAATCTTAAGATTTAACTTAGTTTAATTTGAATGAGAAAGATGTGAAGAAAATGATTGTATTCAACTATTTAATTCAGGTAAAGCGCATGCTGCCTAACCTTTAACCTAGTTATTATTGAAGCGCACCCATTGGTTTGAATTCGAGAGTGTGCCTCGGATTCTCGAGGGTCCTATGTGCTCGACAGAATTTTACGGGTCACTATGCCGTAATAAAAACTCTGCAATCAAAGCGTTCGTGCCTTACTTAAGATTCGAACCAGGATTCAAAAGCATAGGAATATCTGAGTCTGCGTTGCAACTCATTATACCACTCGGGGTGGCATCTTAAAATAGTAATGTCGAAGTGACCTTCCCTCAGAGACTTAAATTCTACCTTACCATCTGCATAAACAAAATATATGCAAGATAATTAGCAAACACAATGACCAGAACAGAGGTTCCCAACAGGATCGGTACTGATCTCCTGGAAGTCGATAAAATTTTAAAGGTGGTCAATAATGACCAAACGGTCAGTTGGTGTTCCAGAGCCGAATATGCACCGGTAATTGATCGATGCAATCAAGATTCCATTGATTACAAAAAATTTACTAATGAAACTGGTAATTAATTCTGGTTGATATAAAGGCATATTATGTATTAAGGAAGAAATGATATATAATAAATATAACTAGGAAGTGCACTAAAATTTTGTAATGCATTTTAAAAGTCAATAATATATATTTTTAATGTAAACGTTATATGCAATAAATACAATATAAAAGTAAAACACTGAAACACAAGTAAACCCAACCAAACATGTACGAAGAATGCAAAAGCCCTTGGTCTTCTTTCAACCTTGCCACCGTTTGAAACTTGTTAAAATATGTTTATATATTTTAACTTGCATAAATATGTTCTTATTCAGAACACATGGTACGCTAAGTTTCAGAATTTAAAAGTTATCCTATAGAAGCATGCTAAAACAAATATTGTTATCCAATTAACATTATTGACGTCTCTCTCTTCTTAATATAAAGTAAAAGCTTTAATCATGTCAATAGCTTACTGCGGAAAACGAGAAACATGCTGAATATTTATGAATGAAGCATTTAAGAATTAAGTTAAGAAGTTTTACACCAAATACTAATACTAAAAATACTAAAAAATACTAAAAAGAATATACTAAAAAACTAATACTAAATACTACTAAAAAGGAAACCTGCATCAGAATGTCAAACGAAACTATTATACTAATTAAAATAGAACTTTGTGCAATTAGAATCTGTAACTTTGTTTCTGAAAACGTGTTTATATTAGTATAATTAAAGGTAATAAGAAAACATAAATCTAATAAACTATATTTTTTTCAAATCTTTTGTTCACATTTAGTCTTATATCTTATTTTTAATTTATTTACATGGAATTATTTATATTATGATTATGTTGCATATTATAGGGGGAAATGTAAACGCAACTTCAAATTCCTCTCTAATACCAACCCCAAAATTATTCTAATCTTGCTAAATTTTGAACAGGAATATAAAAAAAAGGAATGAATCATAGCTAAAGTAAGGACTACATTAGTGGTTTAGCCTTGTGCCTACGTATTTTCACGAAGCTAACTTTGTAGTTTTGATTACTATGGCTGCGCAGAAAGGAAAGGGTAAACCCACTATCTGTTCAATTCCCTTTTTAATTACAAAATCGAATTACTATCTAGTTCTGAAGTTTCATTTTATGAGAGATATGTCTTTGAACAACTACAGCCGTATAGTAGGGTGGAGGGAAATTTTTTTTTTTAAATTCACATTATCCGAGTCATTATATGGTTCCAAATGAGCCAGAACAAATTGCGTTCAAATTTCAGCCCAAAATATTGACATCTTGAGGTTCCATACCTCAAGTAAAAATTTTGTATTAACGTTTTTAACGATTTTATTCTTTATTCACGAATTGCTTTATCAGAAACGCCATTATTAGGGGCAGGAAATACTGCCCACACCAAAATATCAAATTTAATGCCAAAATATGTCATTAGGTGTAGAACAGGTTCTAATCGGACTATTGGTTCTAGCTTGGGGTAAACAATAAAGGGGCTTCCAAGATCTTTCAGCAACTTTTTATTGTTAATTAGTTGGTTGTTCGGTGTATTTCGTCAGTCCTAATTTATCAGTCATTATTTATGTTGGACTAAGGTAAGCGTCAACCAGAAGTGGATCTTTTTGAGATTTTTGTTGGTCATAAACTGCATTGGTTTGCATGCTTATTGCACACCTAGTGAATTGCCTCTTCGTCAGCATTTCCAGAAGATTGATGGAAATACATCTGGGTCACAACAGTTTACTGAAACAATAGGAAAATCCGTGAAAAAATGTGAAACCCTTCCGTGACAGGTTATGTCCCTATCCCAGTTGATCCATCTGAAATTGACAAAAAGCATCAGTACTGACTAAAAATATCTCCTTGATATTTCTAAGGCAGTATCCTCAGAGAAGTTATCTCTAGACATCGAAAACAGGAGTCCTGGGAAGACTGTCGACTCAAGATGGCTCCCTTCATCCAACAAAATTCTTCGCCTTTATGTATCAACCGCCGAACCAACAGTCAACTTGAAGCTACTAGTCGAATATGGTACAAAAGTTTATGTGCCATACTGACTCGAAATATAGAAAATCCTGAGAGCAACACATGAAACACGTCATGTTAACGGAATGATCAAGAAAAGTTCATTCTTGCCAGAAACTTTTAAGGCAATCCTTTACAAGGTTATTCATAGGAATTGTTATTTTGCTGACTCTGAAAATATCCTGTTGGCGATGCTGGAAGATGAACGAGCACATATTCGTGAACTTGGCCTGAGAAGAATACTGAAAGCAAGAAAACTGACTGGGAGGGGAAAATACGATAATTTGTGCCTCCCAAATTAAATTTCAAAGCAGAGGATATTTTGAGATGATTCGCTGGGACAATCCCTTGGAACCACCGGCTACCGTGTACCTCAGCGACGAAGGCATAAGATTGATTAGAAGCTGTTCTCAGTTTGAAATAGGAAAGTTACATTGCCATTCTAAAGTAGTACGGGTGCATGTGAGACTGGTGACAGAAACGTCATTGGCACATGTGGTGCAGAAGCCAGGGATGGAATTCATAAGCAATCGAACCAAGTCCCGGAACATATTTGTGAAGTTCGACACCAAGATGAATTTCTTTGGTTCTCTTGTGGATCCTGAACATGACAGGTGATTAAGCTGAAACTTTTTTACAGGGATTCTTTTATCAATTAATAATCATAGGTTAATAAAAAAGTCATAGGTTGTGTCAAAAAACAAAAATGTTGTAAAAAATCATTAAAAAACATTGTTAAAAATAGTTCGATGTTTTCATTAACATTAACATTGATTTTTTTATTTAACTCATATGGAATCTGAAGAGGACGAGCTACTGAGCTGCAATTCTTTTACTGTATTTATTTAACCCGTTTTATCCCAATTTATTTATTTTGTTCAAATTTGAAGAATGATATTTTCTAAGGTTATTTAAACCTAAACAAACTAAATACAACAAAATTAGAAAAAATTTTATATTTTATATAAGAAATATGGCTCCTCCTCTAAATAGGACACTGGTATAAAGGGGATAAAATTTGCACTTACATGTTTTTAGTATTCTCTTCAATGATGAAAAGTGATTTTCGTGTACAAATTTTACTTTATTCGACTAATACTTTCTCATTTACAAGATAGTTCACTTTTCAGATGAATTTCACTCTAATCTTGGTGGAAAGGTTCAAAGCAAGCCTGACAGAGTGTTTTGTCACATTTGCCACAGTATGTTTTTGATTTTCTTTTCCAGCCCTCTCTTTGCCAACGACGCTGTTTTTCTCGCTTTAGTAAAAAATGTCCAACACTATCTTTACGGATGCCTTCTTTTGCATCAGAAAGTACAGTCCAGATCCTAGGTCTACCTTTTGTTCTTATCACAGTTTCTTTTAGATAAACTGTTGTTACAGCTCTTCGGAAATCCTTCAAGTTTAGAGCTTCATTTTTGTTCAGAGTTTTGTGAATTATCCAGGCGTTTACCATAGCCATATCCAGCAAACGTATAAAAAGTGGCCAGTACCACTTTTTTCCACGAATTTTAATGGAATAAAGTCCAGCCAACCAGTCGTCGTGATCCACCCCGCCCATATGTTTGTTATAGAATTAATCAAATTTGGCATCTTCACGTTAACTTTATCTTTGTGTACTCTCACTCGCCTCTTCAGATCAAACAATGGTTCTAAACTACTGAAATTTGTAGCAACAGTGACAGTACTATTATCATTCCATCGCACCAGGAAAATCTCAGATTTCTCGTCAAACGCAAAATCAGACGTGCATCTTTCTTTCTTTCGCATAGACTTAGATTCTTCTGAAGGGAAACTCGTGGTTTATCCGATTATATAGTTACTGTATAGTTACTGTTTCTCGAAAATCCTGTTCGCCAAGAATTTTCAAAAGATAAATGTTAGTAAAAAAGTTATCAAAATATAAAGTGTAGCTTGGAGGATTCACAATATTCTGTGTTAGTTTCATCACAAACCGAGTACCAAGAGGAGTATTCCTAACGTAATACATGACGATCATTTCATTAATTCTTAGATTTGCAGAGAAGTGTCCAAATTTCATAAAATTATTATTGAGTACGGCAAACAAAGGGTTTACTTTGAAGGATAGATCCTGGGCATGCTGACTGATAGTTACATTGTCCACAAAGTATAAATAAGATTTCAACTTTTGGAAGCGGTTTCGTGACATGGCGTTTTTCACCAGGGTAATGCCAAGGTCTTCAGCATCTGACCAGTAGTCATGTTCGCAGGTATTTGAATGATAACCAGTTAGAAGCAAAATTCCGATAAAAACACGTATTTCGTTGGCAATGGTCAAGAAATCGTGTTCGTTTTTTACATCTGTGGCATATCGCACAATTTCTTTTACAATGAAGTCGTAGACTTCACTGGACTAAAACTGCTCAAAAAGCTCTGATGGGTCAATGCAATTTCCATCTGCTTGAGCAAGTCATTTGCAATTGATTCATCCTGTTTTCCATTTTGTATATTGTGGTGATTTATTCTTTATCCAAGATGACTGGTGTCTTTTAGCTTTTCTTCTACTCTTGTGGAAGCACTGGAGCTTGTGGACGGTTCATGCTGAAAACTATCTCCAGTTATAACTTCCAGAGACCCAGGAACATCGGTTACAATAATCTCACCAGTATTTGCTTCATTCTAATCCCCTTCGTCTTCGTCAGTTAGTACACTGGCAACTGGTGATAACGCAGCAATTTCAACTTCGCTCTCATCTGAATCTACACTATTGAATAGTTCTAACGCTTCCACTAACTTCAGAAACCTTTGCACTGACATAACTCAGCAGCGGTGAAACACTAGAATTTTTTTTTATTCTTATTTATAAAGAGAGAAAGAACGCGTCAATTGCATACTTATCGTCTCATTGTCCTATTTAGAGGAAACTTAAAAAACGAAGCGCTAAAACTCACCTAATAACAATAAACCTTTCATTAACCACCAGGATGATAAGGAAAGAATACTTTTACATACTAAATGCCCAGCCTAGTGTCCAAAGTAAACTGAAAACGAATTCTGCAACCACAAAGAGATGATACAAACCACGCCCACTAATGCGATGAATAATCAGAATGTCCAGAAGAACGAGGAGGGAGCATGACACATAACTCACGCTAGCAGATGTTAATATATATCCCTACATATTCCAGCTGGCAAAATATTCGCACCAAGCAAGGACTGATTTCTACATGCTATATTTCAGCTGTTCTTCAAATAGGACAATGGGTAAAATGGGTTAATCGAACAGAACAATTTGTTGGTCAGAAAATAAAGAAAAATGAATTTTTTCCCCTTTTCACTCTATCCTACCGTACAGCCCTGTATAAAAATTTCAAACTGAAGAACACAGGACTGTATCAAGAATTATGATTTGGCGTCTGAAATCACGGTTGCATGTTCGACTATCTCTTAAACTGTATGTGGTCACTGTTGGCTGTATGTGTATTGCATTTCCTGTACCTCCACGAGTGTAATATCCGTCAACCTCTTCTGGTATACCTTGGACAGTACTCTCGGAGAGGAGGCTGCCGGAAATAGATTTCTAATTTGTTCAACAGATGGTAGTATTTGCCAAGAATCTCTTGAAACTTTATATTGGCACTGCGCATGCAGTGCCTATGTGAAAAAAAAGTATGTTTTGAGGGGAAGGTAGGATTTCTTAGTGGTTTGTCTGCCAGCAAATTCTATTTGTAAATAAAAGTATATTTTTATAGAAAATAGTGTTCTGTATTCTCTAACGCGACGCACAGGATATGTACAAGGATTTAATCTGATTTCTGCATACATTTTAAAAATGGACCACCAAAGAAGCAACTAAATAATATCTGTATCGACAGGTTCGTGAGAAAACAAATGCTTGGCCACTCAGAGGGGGGTTACTGGCCAAATTCATGATTGATCGTTAGGGAGCAGACTGTACTTATTACTAAAGTACATATATCAAGTGTCTGCTTTCGCATCTACTTGCTTCCCTACTTTATTGTTGCGTAAGTAGCGGAAAAATTGTTACATCTTAAAATATATAAGAATTGTTCTAAAACGAAAAGAGAGCATAAATTAAATGTAAACGGTTTTAATATCTTATTAACAACAACAAACTGTTTGAATCAGAAAAGAAAAATGCAACATTTTGAGGATTATACATACAATCATTGAATTACAAATGCATCTAAAAACAGACAAAATGAACTAATACATAAATTATTAAATTAATAAATAATTTATGCTTGTAATATTATGCAAAATGGCGAAAATTTGCAAGCTATGTAATAAGAGAAGAAAAACACATTTTACTTTCTACCAACGTGCTTACTTCAAAGTTAATTTTCATTACATTTTTCATTTCATTTAAAAATCATTATTATAGATGGTATTTAATAATGGCTTTTAACAGTGTGAATTGAACGTTTCTCGATATAAAAGGAAACATATAATGCTTTATCATTACAATACTTGGAAAAGGGAAAATTTTCAATCATATTAAAAATAGATGTTAAATAGTAATTTACTGTAGTATGCCTTGCTTATAGACTCACATTCTTTAACATCCATTAATCAAAATATCATGAGAGCTCTATTTAAAATAAGACAGATGGTTAAATTTCGGCGCAATACGTCAAATAACAATAGCGGAAAATAAGTCGCTGGATTTATACCTAACAAAAATGAAAAAGACTGTCTGAGATAGAGAAATCACTTTGGCGAAACTAAAAGATCATGGATTTCTGGTAATGGATGGGATTCTACTTTTTCTTGATCTCTGCTACATTTTTTACGATGCATCTTTCTCTCAAGATATGAGCAGAAGTTCTTGGATGATCAATACTGAACTCTCTCTTTTGTTCAGATACTTATTGATTTCTTAAGTTGTGCAGGCTTAATATTACATACCAATATATTTGTTTTCTATTTCCATACAGACCTTTGTTTTATTAGTTCTGCTACATGATTTCCATAACCCGCTAAAACCCAATGAGCAGTATAGGATACATTTATAATCGTTAAGATGAATGATATCTATCTTTGTGCATCCATACTTACTTATTTATAGCCACATTTCTATTCAGACCTGAAACGGTAACCATTTAATTTTATTTCTTCAATTACATGTGCTTTTTCTATGATTATATACTAAAAGAATATTAAAAATAAGACTTTTAGTAGAGTATTTTAGTACTTTTTAGTACTTTGTGTATCAAATGTTTAAATGTTCGTTTTCTCTGTTTAAAATGTTTCATTATAGTAGAAGTTTTTTATGATAAGATAAATTTTCTTTCAGCAATAAAATTTAATTACGGACTTGGACGAATTTGGACTTTGAGGCAATAATTAACCATAAAGTAACGTACACCGGTCACATATAGAAAGTGTTAGAATTTTAAATTTAAATAAATAAATCTTTCCACGAAAGACTCAAGATCAATATATATTCTATAACATATCATTGTTGGTTTCTAAATTGTTGCTTCAAATTCTATTCCACTAAAATTTTTCATGAAATTGTTTTGGGTTCTAGATAAAATTTTCTTGAAGACTACTGCATCCCCCAAAATTTAATAAGTGTGGTAAATGTTGTAATTCGATACCATTCTAATTTTTCCAAAGGGCTTAAAAGATTCGTCTCATGAAAGTTTATTCATATTTTTAAAAAACCTGACTTTTTATATATTTATACTCTTATTAAATTTTCATAAATTATTTAGTTCTGTCATTCTTACTTCCTTTTTTTATTATTTATTTTACTTCATATCATTTATTTAAATAACATACTTCTGGTATATAATACAAAATATTTTAGCAGCTTGGTGAAATGGGCTTTTGAATTAGCAATATCATTTGCTGTTACGTTAACAAAATTATTACGTATTTGCTTAAATATTATTTTCAAACTTAGGTCTTTATTTGTATACATAAAATGATGATTGAATATTTTATGATTACAGCACATTTATGCAATTTTTATTTTCCTGCTACCTCTATTTATGGTTACTTCATTCTTACATGAATAATATTTTTTAATTGATTAAGCTTAATTATTTCGCGTCAGCAGAGGCCAAAACCTGTCACATTAGCATTTTTCTGTAAGCAGGCAAGATAAAAAATTAGCAACGCCTTCGCCGGGAATCGAACCGTGGACCTCTGGAATACATGGCCAGCGTGCAGACCACCACATCACAAAGCCATGACAAGAAGGCGGGAGAAATATCTTATATACTTCCCTTTTAAAGGGAGACTGGGGATTTAGGGGACCCAATCGCCAAATCCTGGGTATGTAGAATCATCATCCAACACCCTTTTAGTTTGGGCGCCACTGTAGAGACATTAGGATTTTTTTTGAAGCAGGCAGGATGAAACATTAGCAACGCCTTGGCCGGGAATCGAACCGTAGGCCTGGAATACGCGCCCAGCGTGCAGACGACCACACCACGAACTCATGCCAAGAAGGCGGGAGAAATACCTTACAAATATACTTAAATGATTACTTCTTTCCTGTCGATCTTTGTGCAGTTTCCTCTTAGGGGAGGATTGAAACTGAGAGTATTAATAGCTAAACATTGATAA